GTAGTGTCGGTCGCGTACAGTGTAAATTTGTGCAAGTGGAGATGTTCGGTGCGCCACCACAATGCACACAGAAGCCAACCAATGACGAGGTATCCAACTGTCAGGTGGGTGGTTTCGTTATACTTTCGCATATTTAATAAATATAAATATTGGACTAATATTTTTGATCCTGCGAAAACTTAAAAAACCTCACATAAATGGTGTAGTCATACATTATGAGCTTGAAAGACTGTCTTCAGATAGAAAACTGTGTCCGTTCTGGTTTCCTAGACCCTTTCTGTTAAAGGAAGAGCGCGCATGAAGTTTTTTAATCTGAGAGTAAAGATTGCTACACATATAATGTTTGTTAGAGTAGATTTCGAAATTGGCCAAGAGGTAAGCGGTTGACAGGTCCAGCATAACAGCTTAGCAGATTTTAGTTTGGATCACGAGTTTTCTGTCCGTTCAATGCAATAATTTCTGTACATGTTGCTGGGTAGCTTAACCTCAAATGTTGAGTCGGTCAGATTAGGTTAGTCTGCTTGACCAAGAAGCCATGCATAGACCAGTTTTGGTCCTTTGCGATACTAGATAGAGTTCAGTTTCTAGGTCCAATAGGAGCAGTCATCCTTTAGGACGCCTGCGCTTGAAATGCTCCATTGATCTGTCAGCCCCATCCTATGGGCTAATGTCGCCAACAATTTTCTTCAAGTTTTTACAGTCTTTTCTATCGAGTGCCAATAGGAATTTTTTGTAGCTCTCATCTAGCTCGTTCCGTCGAGTTGACCTCGGCGACTTTGTGGCTTGGCACCCAATAGAAGTAAAGTTGCTTACTTCTGGCAACACTTTCCATTGCTGCTCTGCTTGCCAAGACACTTCTGGCCAATATGCGATTCCAGTTATTGCTTTTATTGCTGCTTGGCTGTCTACGTACATGTTGACTCCGGATTTGCCTCTTAGTGCATTAGAGGCCAGCTCCGCGGCTTTCGTAATAGCAAAGACCTCAGCCTGAAAGATACTGTAGTGGTTTGGCACTTTAAAAGGTTGCCATAATGCCTAACTGTGGACCGTATATTCTCGAACCAGCTCCATCGTCTATTTTCGAGCCATCCATATAGAGTGTTACGTGCAGCTTTTAAGATTTCCAATTAAAAAGTCGAAACTTTTTAAAATAAGTTAAAGATTAGTATGTCTAGAGGCTACTGACAATTTGAATACAGTCGTCAGATGGCTCTTCTTTTGTCTTATCCTTCAAAACGATGCTCGATTTTTTTTTATAACACTTTTATATCTTTGGTCCAAGAATGACTAAAATAAACTGTTTTCTGGACCCACTTTTCGCTAATTAGCTCCATTCGGATCTAAAGGCATTCGTAGGTGAGCGAGGAGAGAATTAACTATTTCCAACAAATTTTTGTTTTGAGTGAAATTTTTTTTTTTTATTCTATATCTATACCATCTAGTCATTTTGCTTCGAGGAAACCAATCAATTGCCGGTAATTCAAGACACCCTAGCAGGCATCACGCGCGTGAAAGCGGACACAGCGGTACCAGAACAACAACTAAGCAAAGAAAATTTGCCATTATCCGAATCGAATGCAGACAGCGCCGATACCGACACAGATCCAGACACACAACCACGTTCACTGGCTACACCCATACTGTCTGCCAACGCCACTTTTATTGGAACAGACAAGAAAACACAAGTTGTAGAAGTTTCCAGTGAACAACGTTCAGATCTGTCGGACTCCTCAAAAGACACATCCAGTTCCGATGAACGTCTCGATATTGATATAAAGACCGCAGATGAAGCAATAAGGGCACCAACAGCTGGTGCAACATCCGTTGAACTGCAAAGAGCAGCAGTTGCAGCAGCCGCGGCAGCAGCGGCAGCACAAATAGATTGTTGGCAAATCGATAGCTGTTTAATAGCTGAGACAAGTAATGAAACATTTGGTATGGAGCATCACTGTCCACATAGTGGCAAATCGCTGAATATGACCTATATTATACCGTTATCGCGGTTTTTCAAGGAATCAAGCATACAACTGCAATTGAGGTGAGCTTAGGGAGGGGGAAATGAAATTGAAATCTTTTTTTTTTATCATTTTGCTTTCCAGCTCTTCGGTGCCATTATTATGGACCATTTGTAGCAATCGCGAGCTGACTAAACATCAGGGCGCTCATCTACTACAATCATCTGCGCATCAACTTAGCGCCAACATCGTACAACGTCAGTCAAATATATCGGTTATATACTTTAATATACCAAGTCGAGGTTACTTCATACGAAGTTTGGCGTTACGCGCAACGACGGCGGATTCGAAAAAGGTAAGTACTGGAGTTACTTTGTAAAACCCGGAACAAAACTTCGGAAACTATAAAATACACACTAAAAAAATTATCAGCGAGACGAACTGAGCCGTTCCAGCCTGTAAATACGCGAACTAGTTCCACAGTTTTTGAGTTCTCGATTGGAAATTTTGTACACATTCCTTCTTCCCCACGGAGATTTGTCGGAACGGCCCATATCTCACCAATACAGCATATAGCTGCCGTACAAACGACTGCTCCAATTTCAAACAAAGAGCTCGAGTTGTCGCGAGAAACGAGTTTGAGCCTTGCGCAGCTTCGTTCTGGAGACTATAGCATGTTAAATTTCTACTTATCCAAAATAGACATATGTCCAGCGTGCAATGAGTCCCCGCATGACACTGGACAACTCTTTGCATGCCCTACTAACCCTACTTATTTGACACTTTTCTAATCCTTACCATCCTAACGGGGATTAGGTAGCCATTACAACAACAACAAGTTCTTGTATGAAAACCTTTTGATTTGTAAAGCTGTTGAATTATTACAGCTTCTGTGCAACCGAAGTTAATGGTCTTTCATATGTTTTATTAATATTTACTGTTATTTTTCCAGCAAAATATTTGCCAGGAGACAGCACACGAAGCAAACACTTTACTGCAGTACAACTTTAGCATCGTAAGAGATTGTGACTAGTGATAGAAGAAGGGAATTCCTGAAGAAATACATATATGTATGTATATGAAGAACAACAGCAATTTGAGCAAATTGAGAAAGCCAACTACCAACAAAGCTTATTCGTACATTCTGCATGTATACACTTATATAAGTATACATAGTATATATTGGATTTGAAAATGAACAAATATGTATAATTAAAATTTAATTATTGGCCAAGTGTTTGGGGTAAATTAAAAAAATATAACATTAAAAACATACTTAGTTTAGAATTACTTTACATACTCGTATATATATATATGTATATTATATATAAAATGTTAGAAAAATGATAATAAATCGAATTGTAATGTATATAAAAAAGGCTTATGTAACAATATAAATACAAAAAATACACAGCATCTTGAAAAGAAAGCTGCTGAATCAATATTTTATCCACTGCTAAATTAATTAAAAAAGAGATATTTAAATAAAAACATAAAATATAGAATTGTGACATTTTATATGGTATTCGAGAGTTCGAGGTAAGATATACTATATATGGATAATAGGTATTATATTTACATACGTATGTATGTACATATGTGTTATTATCCCAAAATTATAAAATTTTACAGACCAATGTACAAATTCATGTAAATATGGCAAGAAACACATTATACACATTACAACTAATCGACAGTCTGGTCTACAATACTATTGGGGTACTCACAACCCGTGTTAAAGCATCGTAAAATCGTAAAATTATAAATTTTTACACTTGCATTTCTTTAAGAACAACATTGTTGTTGGATTTCATACAAAAATGAGTTTACACATTTACAATTCTCATCATATTTTTTCATCAACATAATTAGTATCACTTCGTTTCAATTATTTCTATTATATTTCCGATATTGAAAAATCACTTTTTGTCTATACTACACGTGCTTCTCGCACCGTTTCTCTAAAGCTTTCACTTTTTACCGTTATTTCATTTTAATGCACACTTTTGCCTATTTTTAATTAACCCTAAAAATTGTTATCCTTAGTTTAGTATAACAAAAAATATTTTTTTTTTCAAATTTGCAATTATTGTCATAAAAATTTACATGAAAAATGAATCCTACATGGAATTTGTGTCTTCGAAACAACAAATTCATATCGAGTATCAATGCCGATTGCACAAACTTTATAATAAATTTAATTTTTTATTTTATTTCACAAAACTGAACACAAAACGCATTTATTTTGCAACACAAACAGTTTTATTGTACATTTTGTATAGAGAATAATTATTAAATTTAAACTAAGAACAAAACTTTATACTACACAGCGAATGGATTATCCTTGCCATCTTCATGGTATTTAATATACGTTTCGCCATGTGTAAAATCTCTGGTACCCTCCAGACGTCCACGCGGCGGTGCTTTCTCATAGTCGAATGCTTTCTCGGATTTGCCATACAAACGATTCGCTTCCTCAATTTCATCGCGGTATTTGCCCACCACAACTTTTTTGCCGGTTATTGGATCTGTTATGTCACCCAATGGATAAACAATTTTCTCCACTGCATGCGAAATTAAGCGAGTCAAACGTTGTGGCAATTCTCGTATCAACACAATATCGCCAGTTTTACAAACTTTCTCGGGATCATGAGCAAAGAAGTATTCATCCTTTTTGAAATACTATATGAGAAGCAAAATGATTTCAATTTTCCTTCTGCTTAAAACATAATAGTGCTTACCATATTCAGGTTCTTATCCAACTCCATGTGTCGTATGCGTATTTTGGACGCATTTTTCTTAATGCATGGCATGCACTGTCCTAATAATATCGCACCACGTGAAGCCATTATTTCGTAAATGCAATTATAAAATTTTTTTTCAGAAGTTCCTAATAATTTTTAACAAAATAACAAACGAAACATTCTTCACTAACACATGTTATCAAAAATGTCAAATGGAAACAGCTGTTCGGATACTAAACAACTGTCAGCCGCCGAGATTTCCAATTGAAAAGTTGTTTCTGATTAGAGATGAAGTTAATTGGATAAAAAAAAATAACAAAACGTCATTTTTGACATTTTGAAGTGTCAGCTGTTGTGGTGATTTAAATGCAGTGGTTTTTGTTTAAGCATCTAAAAACTGCACAAAAAAGCATCCAAATAGAAATTGCGTATGAAAATAAACAAACGTAATCTCATTACATATTAAACTGCAAGCAATAAATATATTAAATTAATCAGCTATTGAATGCACTTAAAGCGGTAGAGCGTTTTGTAGGAAAACGCAAACAGCAAAGAAACGAAGTCATGGTAAGTGAAATAAAGCTTTGTAATAGTTGAAGCCAAATAAATGCGAATATCATCGTTTTTATTTTCTCCAACAAAGAGCTACGAGGACGACGAGTATCATGTGGACACGTTTCCAAAAGACTTTGGTTACGGTTCATTCGATCAGGATGGCTTGGATGAGCCTGGTATGGGCGGTGGCGAATCTAAACCACGCATACTACTTATGGGTTTGCGACGTTCGGGCAAAAGTTCTATACAAAAAGTCGTCTTCCACAAAATGTCACCGAACGAAACATTGTTCCTTGAATCAACAAGCAAAATTGTTAAGGATGACATAAACAATTCCAGCTTCGTGCAGTTTGAGATTTGGGACTTTCCCGGACAAATCGACTTCATAGATCCCACATTCGATTCCGATATGATATTCGGTGGTTGCGGTGCTTTGGTATTCGTAATCGATGCGAAGGATGATTACAATGAGGCATTGACAAAATTTAAGAATACCGTTATAAAAGCATATAAAGTAAATCCACGCATAAAGTTCGAAGTATTCATACACAAGGTAAAAAATGCATAAAAGTTGAATATGTGTGAGTAGTGGGTGTTGTCATTGTGTTATCAGTAAACTTTGTGAGAAAGTGCCAGTTGTTCAGAGTAATTAATATAAAAACATGGAAAATTACAAACATGTGTATCATGTGTTTAAGGGTTTTAAAAGTCAACCCGGCAGTAATTTATTGCATTGTATGGCAGTTGATTATTATATATACATATGTCAAAGTTCATTGTTGCATCGAAGCCCTAGATCTTTTAATTATTTGTTTTTGTATTTGCGCAATAGGTTGATGGTATTAGTGACGACTCAAAAATGGAATCACAGCGGGATATACATCAGCGCGCCTCTGACGATCTGAGCGATGCCGGACTTAACCAGATACATTTGAGTTTTCATTTAACTTCCATATATGATCATTCGATATTCGAAGCTTTCTCCAAAGTAGTGCAAAAATTAATACCACAATTACCAACATTGGAGAATCTGCTCAACATTTTTATATCGGTAATGAACCTATATTTTAGCTAATATAGTATGTGTATATGTATATATATATATATATATTTTTTTTTTTTTTTTTTCTTTACTGAAGCATTCGGGTATCGAGAAAGCGTTCCTTTTTGATGTAGTTTCAAAGATCTACATCGCCACCGATTGTTCGCCTGTAGATATGCAAAGCTATGAACTTTGTTGTGACATGATCGATGTGGTCATTGATCTCTCGAGCATTTATAGGTAAATAAAAAATAAATAAAGAAAACTTTTCAAGTGTTGAATTCGTGTATAACATCGCCACATTTATTTTGCAGCTCAGAGGAAGCGGCATTCGACCATGAAAGCTCTAGTCTCATTAAGCTGAACAACAATACGATTTTGTATTTACGAGAAGTAAACAAATTTCTTGCGCTAGTATGCATATTACGAGAGGAGAATTTCAATCGGCAAGGTGTTATCGACTTTAACTTTTTATGCTTCCGCAAAGCTATCAGCGAAGTTTTTGAATTGCGAATGAAAAGCCAAAAACTCGAGACATTAGAAGAACAAATTGAACCAGAGGATGATGTTGTGGACGAGGATGAGGATGAGCTTGTTGCACGCGTTAATGAGAATCATTTGAATTAATTTGTTCTTATAACGCGTTTTTTTTTTATAAACGGATGTATATGCATTCAAGATGATTTAACGAACAACCATAGTAAGCAGGGCAAAAGAGTGTACAAGTTGTTTACATTTTGTGTTAGGCAATTATATGCGATTTAAACCGAAACATGTCACGAAAATATTTTTTATAACGTGCATATATGTATGTACATATCTTACAAACGTTACGGCGCACTTATTATCTATACATTTTGTCATACATCAAGTACAGCTTTACAATATTTTATTTTTCAAATAACTGTTTTTGTATGTTATTGTGCCTTTATTCGAATTAATATTATTTTAATGCTTAACTTTGCAACAATTAATTAAAAACTAAACAATGAGTCGAAACCGTTTTTCAAAATAAGTAAAAAAAAAAAAATATATATATACATACATATATCATATTTAAACAGCTTCAAATCACCGTTACCAGTGCAAACATAAAAAAAACACACAAATTGATAAATGCAATAAGTTGAAATGTTCACACTTTTATACTAGCTTAAAATTATTGTACAGCACATATGAAAAATACGGCAAATTATGTGAAATTTGTGGCTGTCTTACTTTTGTTATTCATTGAAAATAAAAATAAAAAACTTAGTTGCAAAAATAGTTTATATAAAAAAAAAACTGAAACGTACTTCCTATTCCATTTTGCAAATATCGCAATTTTTTTAACTGAACTGCTCTTGGCTAACTTGCTTTTTTTACGTTTACGATTGATATTTTGTTCAATGTCATAACAATAACAGGTTGATCACTTATTATTTGTTTCATTTTTAAGGAAAAAATATATGTAAAGCCTTTGTTGCTTACGAGCATTATAGAAATGTAAAAAATCTAAAAAACAGTACATACTTGGACTACTACAAAAAAATAAACGAAATATACTTACTTATTACGTGTGTTTACAGCGATCACAACCGCGCTCATTGATCCTAACCGAATTGCGTTGTAATGTCTCTAGGCGCGCTTCAAACAATATATCATCGATTGCCTTTTTGGCAAAAATTTTTTGCGTTTGACTTAAACTACGGTATTGATATGCCCAACTTATACCTAAAATATCAGCTTCATCGCTATATTGCCTACATTTCTTAAATTGCATGTTTGCAGCTTCATTCTGTGCACTTTCGTTGTGGTTCGGTGTAGGAGAAGGCGAATATTGGCGTTTGGTACTCTCTTTAGTTGTCAGAAACTGTATTTTGTTTCATAAAAATAAACAAACTTACAATTGTCATAATTAAGCAAAAAGTGTGTCTTACTTACCTGCACAACTAGATCATGCTCATCAGCAACAAAATCATCATCTTGTAAATTGTTATCAGACATATTATCTTGGATTGAACTATATTTGTTGAACTCGCTATCATTCCAGTCATCATCTTTATCGTCTAGTGGATCATTTTGTTCGTTTAGAAACGAGAGATATTTAAAGTAGATCAATTGATCAGCCGCTTTCCCAACTAAACGTTGTCCTTTCCGCATTTTACTCATTAATTTCCTATAGATAGAGCAGAGTGTGTCGAGTTTTCTTTTAACCATACCAACATCAGCAGTTGGATAAATCTCACGCATTTTCTTCAACAACTTTAAATAAGCAGACCGCTTGGCTCTAGCATCTTTATAAAACTCGCTATCACATTTCCATAGTTCTGGCTTTGATCTGTATAGCTTAATGAATTCTATCCAGAATTTTTGCTTTTTCGTTAGGTTTAAACTTACTACGTCAGCATCTGCACTGAATTGATTTAATTCATGTGATACAGTTTGTTTTTCATGCATAGATATTGCTGGGCTGGATGGTTGGGAATTATTTTCTAACTTTGTGGAGTTCTTCGATGTACTAAACTTTTAGAGAAATGTACTATTTTAATATACAAATTAATTATTTTGCAAACTAACTGACTTACTTCCACAACTTCGCTTATTTCTTCATCGATAGCATCGAAATCAGTGTTTTCCATGTGATCAGCGGTATTATCAAGCGGGCCATAATCATCATTATCTTCATCAGCTTCGTTTGAAGTATCAGCTTCCTCTAGGGGATCTTTAGACTCATTTAGAAAGGAAAAATGGTCAAAATATAACCAGTTATTAACAGGCTTTCTGCCCACTCTTATGGCACGTTCCATTTTATGCAATTCCTTTCTATAAGACGTCCGTAGTATATTAATTTTTTTTCTGACCATTTCAGCTGTAGGATTAGGATGAACTTCACGCAATTTTTCAACTAGTTCTATGTAAGCATACTTTTTTGCTTTACGATCTTTATACACCTCACTATTAACTTTCCATAGTTCGGGTTTTGATTTATATAGTTTAATAAATTCGATCCAAAAGTTCTGGTTTTCCTTAGTATTTAGGGTCATATTAAAACTTGTTTCGCTTATATGCCTTGATTGATTTAGCGTTTCATCCAGTGAAATATTTAGCGATCTTGAAGAGCTGGTAGAATCCGTCTGAAATCTGCTACTTGTGCTGCTTTTATGCGGCATATACTGCAAAAAAAAACATATAAAAACATGTTTGTTATCAGGGATATAATTTAGTCCTTACTACCAAAACTTCATCTTCGTTCTCCTCGTCATTGTTTTTATCTGAATCCTGATCTTCGGTACCGTAGATTTCGTTTAAGAATTTGAAATGTTTGAAATACACCCATCTATTCTGCGGCTGTTCACCAACTTTAATTTGTTCCTGGGCATTAAAACATAAGCGCCTATAGCATGCTCGAAAACTGTTGATTTTCTTCTTTACCATATCAACATCAGGATTTGGTTCAATCTCACGCATTTTCTCCACCAAATCCAAATAAGCATGCTTCTTTCCTATCCGATCTTTGTACACTTCACTTCCATACTTCCAAAGCACTGGTTTCGATTTGTACAAATTTATGAATTCAATCCAGAATGCTTGTTGAGCGGTTTTTGAATTATCCATAATAACAAATTTGTTGGAGCAAACAAAACTTAGACCAATATTATTCTACAAGCGATTTGAGTAATTTTGACAAGGCTAAAAATTTGTACAAATTTATTTTGTGTTTCAAACAATGATTGCCAACATCTCATTATTAGCTAATACATTTCATACAGTAGGAGTGATGAAAATATTATGTATTACTGAAGAGATTAAGATATTATTATTGACTATTAGCTACTTATACAATAGCTTGTGAAAAATACCATTTTTACTTGATTTTATGGCAATTATTATTGAAGCAATACAAACATCAAAAACTTTGAATGTGGCAAGACAGATAATACTCAGCTGTTTGTAACAATTGTATAAACAAATCTTACTATTTCATTCGCACAATTTTTCCCAATCATTTTGACATTTCTTTTCAGCGAATTTCCATATCAGCAGCTCCAATGAGAGAACGTATGTGCTACAATGCTCCATCCAACAACAATGCCTTGCACTTTCACAAAAACAAAACAAAACGACTGTGATAAAAGTTCAGCAAAAAACGTGTAAGCAAATAAAAGTCTGTGAAAAGTGGTGGCAAACTGGATACGTCAATTGATTTAGTTGCTTTCAGAGCGAAGTTGGAGCGAGTCGAGCGAAAGTTTAACTGGTCCGTTGGGCGCATTTTCATTTCTGTATCAAATTTTGCAGTGCTTTTCAAGTGTTCATTATAGTGTGTGTGTGTGGTTCATGTGAAAAAAAAAATACAGAAATCAATTAAGTAAATTTAACTAATATACAAATATCTGACTGAAAATTTACGGTAAGAATCTGTTGAAAAAAAAGTCGAAGGATTGCATAAAAATACTCCATAGGTAATAAAGTGTACAAAGTGCATGATCGTGTTGAAGAAAACCTGTCGTCCAGCCGATTGTATTCTATCCAGACTCTGCAGCTGGAACTGTGCATCTAATTATTGGTATATGTATATACATACATACATTCATACGTTAAAAAATAATAAAGGTTGAATTCATATGTACTGCACGTATTCGAAGTGCCGTTTGTTCATAATACCCCACAACGTGTTGGAGCGTGTATTGCTGCTGATGCACATAAAATCCGCTAATCGCCTGCAAACCGGCAGACATATTTGATACATACGCACATTGTATTGCATACGCGCAAAAGCTTGTACATATTATAAACGGCAAGTGCATAAATTTGTAGTAAATTCATATAGTGAATCTCAAAAATACGCAAAACGCACTATTACTGATAGTTTAAAGCATTGTTTGTTCAAGTGTGAAACTAAAAAGATTTTTCGGAATTTATTACATTTCTAATTGGACTGAAATCAACTTGGATTTTTGAGCTTTCCAACTTGACCTGCTGTAAGTAACCTTTTCATTACCTACGCCATCTTCCGTAGTTTATCATTATGTATACATGTGTGTTGGCATTTCCTTTTCCTGATTGGCTTTCTCTTGCACAAACAAAGCACATTTCTCACACTATATTGTAAAAATAATGATGTACACACATTCCTTTGTATTATACTTCTAATAATTATCATTCAGTGTAAATATTCATATTTTAGCTGGGAAAGAAAGTAATCTTGCATTTTTTCAATAGAATTACACATACATATATAGATAATTGACCGGTTGCAGGGAAAGCCTATTGATATACTAAACATTTATTTAATAATATCCTTTATACGACGTAAAGCATATCTATATTTTATTTTATTCAGGTCTATAGACACATATATGTATGTACATACATATGTATTTGCGATTTTTGTTAGATTTATGATGAAATTTCTGCAACATTCAAAAAATATATGTATAAAGCTATTGGTGATTGTGTAACGCCGGGCAACAGTAGTATGTAAGAACATACGAATTATCAGCACATTGTGACCGTAAGGGATGTTTCCTTTGATGACAGTCAAGGGTGTTCTTACATACATTTCTACATATTGGGTGCATCTCCCGTCTTTTTGCACATTTTTGCTATTCTATAGGTAGTAAGACATCGTTTTCGTTATTTATTCCTAGCTTACAGTTGTTAGTTGCGGTTCAATGCGTCAGTAATTTTTATTGTTTAAACGAGCACGAGTTCATTCTTTGCCTTTCCACATTGATTTTTCCTAAAAATGGCAATGTTTTCGCATTACCTTTTCACGTCATAGTTCAAGGTATGACTCACTGTTCTCAGAAATATCGACCGCGGTGGTCAGCTGTGTACAAAACTATGAATATGGCATTGCTGCTTCAGTGATTATGTTTCAAAAAGAAACCAAGTAACTTTAATTTCATTTTAGGGATAATTGGTGAATATCAATATTTTAGTATGATGGTTGTTTTCTAGATATGAATGAAAGATGTGCACATACACATATTTCTCATTGCAGGTAAGCATTTTCTGTAGTTTTTCTGGGTGGGTCAATAATGATGTACCACATATATATGTATAATATATATGTATACGTATGTATGTGTATTTAAGTTATGAGAATAAACATCAGCTGGACGAAAACTTCTAATTGAGAATATTTTCTCTTACTTGGGCCAAAAGCAATTGCGTTTCATGTTTTTAACTAAGGTGTGTTTTGTTATCAGTCATTGTGAAAATTATGTTCTTTAAGTCTATGGTTAATATAATTTATCAAATTTATTTATTTTTTTTTTTATGAATATTGTCACAAATGAAGATTCATAGTTTTTAGAAATAAAATGTCATACAAATTTCCTTCTACAACTCTCTAAGTCTTTCTTACTCAAATTTTTCGTGGATTATGGTTATTCGAGTTAGAGAAGTTCATCTGTATATACCTACTGAGTTAACGAAATCCCTACTACATACATACATATGTAGGTATATAGGCACATTCTACAAGTATAATATTTTTTTGCTGAATTACAATACCTGAAGAGAAAGGCGTTAACTACTTTGCAAAATATACAACTAATAAGCATATTTTTTCATAATTTCTATATGAGCTTATAAACATACATACATATATACATACATTCAAATGTACACATGTGGATATAAACTCCACCTAACGGGAACGCCTCTAATCTCTATAAATTGCCGTAAAATCTGAATACGCAGAAAATTATTGTATCTCACACATTTTCTTGCACACTAGCCGAAAGTGCTAACAGTGGTAGATACTCAATTTACTAGAATTTGTACAATACAATTTGCTTTTCTGTGTGTGATACTTCCATCAAACAATAAAAACCGACAGAGTACAAATAGATTTGACGCTACTTTTTCTTTTCGCTAAAAAACACACAAAAACCCGACATGAAAACAAAGTGGTAGCTTTTACCGCCTCTTGTGTCCAACTCTTTGTCTATTTTTCTGCTTTTCATATAAAATTTATCGCTTGCACGTGTTAAAATATACATACATACATCCAAACATTTGTAGATATACATTTTCAGCCACTGTTTGAATGAAAGATACAACAACAATAAAATATACATGCATGTACATATGTATGTGTGTATATAAGTTTTTATTTAGTCAGCTACAACCTGCGCTCACAATAATTGGGCCATAGACGCACGCTGTCAATGCTAATATCTTTCTAAACCGAAATAGCCCTCATGTAAATGCGAGATATTACCACGAATTTCAACCTAATTTTAACACGGACGGATGGGCGGACGTTGTGACTGAAAGTGAGCTGAACACTGTTAGTAATTAGTATACCTTTGCACAGTAGCTCCAAAGAATAATCGAAAACGGTGCATAAGGCTTGTTAGTTATATAGGGTCTAGGGCGAGTTGTAACCCAATTTTCATCATTCTATGCAGAGAAATGCATCGTTATAAGAAAAACACGCCCTTTATCCATCTTTTATTAAGATAACTCACATATTGGCTGAGGAATACGGCTAAAAGCAAAAATCTTTATATTAGGTATTAGCCATCATATAATAGTAAGTAAGTATTAAGTATTGATCCTATTCAACCCATTGAGCGAAAATTTGGTCTACGCCCTATATAACTAATATCAGGATTTCGAACATCCGGCTGACTTTACTTTATATGATTGGTTTTATACCTTAAAGTATTTCCCTCGCTTTGATGCTTACAAGTTACAAGATTATAAAATGTTCAGTTGCACCCGATCTTAGTTCTATATAACCTCTTAAGTACTTTGGTAATAACAGAATTAACACGAAGGTGTGCTCACTGAAATTAAAAATGTAAAGCACATCCGATGATTTTTTTGAGTAACTGTACGTGTGTACATACTTACCATTTTATTGTGCATTTAGTGTTACGAAATTCCAATTTTTTCTTTCTTTCAAATTTTTTCATGGCGTTTGGCATGCGTTTTCGAGAGTAAGTGCGAATGTTAATGCTAGTACATAATTTTCAAGTACATTAAAAAGTCAACGCGGCGTGAAGTCAACAGTTTTTGTTGTTAAATTTTCGTTTTTTTTTTTAACGCGAATTCTTAATTTATTCACCTAAATTTTTTCAACATTAAATCGTTAAAATCATATAAAACTCTTTAAAAGAGTATGCATAGACAGTTACTGTTTGTTGGTTGTTATTGTATTTGGTAACATGAAATTTGAGACAAAAGTTTATATATTCCTTTTTATGGTAGATATAGTAATCTGCTGCTTTATTTTTCACTATCGCCACATCTACACATATTACTTTCAAAATAAGAACAATAATAAAATGCATTTCAAGGTTCTCTACTATTTTAAACAAAAAGACGCAGAAACTTCAAATTTTATACAAAAAAAAAATTATTATCATTCGAAAGAACATTCTTTAGCATTTATTTTTGAAGATTATCTATTTCAAATGTTGGCCGCGATTACGTCTCAGATGGTCCATCCGTTGAGTCCTATTTGCTATGACTCGTTCCAGCATTTCGACTAGATAACTGGATCCAAGATTTGAATCGAAGCCAGATTGTTTGCATAGACTTTAGCCTTTGCATATTCCTACAGGGGAAAGTCTAAGGGTCACGCAATCTTGTTCAAAACGTGAAATTATCTGCTCACTGAAGTATGCTCTCAATAAATCCATTGATTAATGTGTTTTGTGGAAAGTGGTGCCATCTTGTTGAAACCAAATGCCGCCGAGAGCACGAGATTCAATTTGAGGTATTCGCCATTGACGGTTACGTTCTCACCGGCATCATTTTTGAAGAAATATGGACCTACGATTCCACCGGCCTATAAACCACACCAAACCGTTGTTTTTTCTGAATGAAATGGCAACTCTTGAATCTCTTCAGGTTGCTCTTCGACCCAAATGCGGCAATTTTGCTTGTTTACATACCCATTGACCCAGAAATGGGCCTCATGGCTAAACAAAATTTGCTTCAAAAACGTCGAATCTTCTTGGAACTTGGAAGAGCCCATTACATTACAGCTAAGACTGTAGAAAAAAGTACCTCTACTTGGATCACCGATTAAAATGTGTCTAAAGAGCATTAGCAAAGAAAATATTAAAAATAAATTTTTCTCCAAACTGCATTGAATATGTTAAAATTAAATAAAATTGAATGTTTTTTCTTCTTCAGAACTTTTTCCACCTTTAGTTTATTTTGATAGAATACAAATGCTTGGCATCCCTAATTCATATTAATTCTGCAGTTCATATTTTAATATCCACATACATACATATGTATGTATATAAGTGCAATATATACATACAAACAATATTTAAATTTATACATACACAGTTATTTATAAATATTATAATATAAGAGCGCATACATACATGGGCATTAAGCGCCTCATATTACCACTTATGTGACATCAATTCTGCTTTCCACTCCATATTCTGTACAAGTGTTTGCCAACATATATGTATATTTTTTGCCGGACTTAACGGAAGTCATACAATTATTTTAATGCTACCTAGCGTGACACCAACTCACACAGCTGACAAGTGACCACGACAGAGTGGCATTAACAGCTCCAGCCTGAAATATAGAAATTATGTTGCATTTTAAATGCCCCCAACCTGCATTCTATATAAAAAAAAATGAATAAATGTGTGTACGTGAGTCTACAATATGCACAGCAGTGTGCAAAATAAATGCAACGCTTAACTTTCAGTGTTTAATGTTGTTGTAACTGAAGAAGAAATGTGGCAATTTTTTGAAAAATATATATTCTTTAACAATCGAAAAAAATATATATGTATATTTTCCAAACGTTTTCAACACTCTGGACTGCAAGCAATATATTTTTAAGTTTGACTTTGTATTAACCTGAAAGTCAAAGTTTCATGATATTCATATGAACATTTCAAGTTCCTGATCTCAAAGGCTTCGCTGGCCTGTTTTGCAGGCCTCGAAGCTTACCGCTATCATACCAGAACCAAAATACTGACAA